AATAACTAACTAGCATTTACTGAGTGATCTCTGCATCCCAGGCACCGTGCTGAACACATCAGCCCACGGAACTCACACGGAAACTGCAGGAGGTAAGTACTGTAATTTCCTCTTTTGAAGTTAAACCAACTGAAGCTGTGTCCCCCAGTCGAAAACCCCCACTCCTGTCTGGCCGCCCTTTCTACAGAGACCTCCCTAGCTCTGGTCCCCAAAACCTTTCTCCCCTCGCCTTTCCAGGGCAAACCCAAGAGTCCCCACCTGGGGTGCTACGCTGGCTCTTGGGAGTTCCCCAACGCCCTGCCCACACCTTTGTAAACAGTTCTTCAGTCGATTCCCTCCTCAAATTATCCCTCGTTGAGTGTGCATCTATTTCCTGCTGGAGCTAGAGGGAAAAAAAGGCACTGCAGACAGGTGAGTCCTACCCAACAGGGAAGTGGGTCAGGAAGCAGCCCCGGCTGGGGGGCGAGAGAGGGCATAAAAAAGGCACATTGGGAAAATTCAAGGCGGTAAAACCACTTTGGAGAACAGCTTGGAAATAACTCATAATGAAGCTGAAGACGCACCTACCCTATGGTCCAGAAATTCCACCTCTAAAGTCTCTCGGACAATGCACGCTCTTCTTCACGGCAGAATTCTTTGTATTAGCAAGATTCTGATCCAACCTAAATGTCCGTCCGTCGTATCTAAATGATGAAATAATATACCAGACTGAAGAACGGGCGAGCCAGAATGACGTGTACCACGCGAGGGACTCCTACAGACAGACCGTTAAGCAAAATAAGTAAAAGGCAGAAGGACACCTGTCCATGCAGGTGCGTGCAGGTGCTACGCTCCAACTACCACTGAAAAGCAGGCCAAGCAAACTAGACCTTGTTTAGGGACACAGGCAATACTCAGGATAAAGGAATGGCTGGGGACGATAAATACCAAATTCAAGGTGATGGTCCCCGCTCCCAGCAGAGGAGGGAGGGGCGTGGAGGGGGAGGTCTCAGCTCCATGGTGACGTGATGGTGACATGACGGTGACAGTGACGTGACAGTGACAATGATGTTTCACTTACTACACTGGGGGATTAGCACCTATGCTCTATTTTGTTACTCTTTGTTCCTTGTGTATGTCAAATATTTATTTTCAGGAAAGAAACGGGGCGGGAGGGAAGCTTCCCGAGGTTTCCAGGGAAAATAAAGAACTGTGGGGGTGTGGGCTCCCTTGCCAGACTTACTCACTCCTCGCCATCCTTCTCTGCTCCTTTGACACACAGAAGAACTCGAACCACCTGAGGCTTCTGGGGCCTCTCCCAGCTCTGGGTTCATTTGGTGGTTCCAAGGGCCAAATGCCAGCCCTAAAAACCTCGGCAGAGGCTCCCCGGGAAATATACCAGGAAAGCAATCAATTGCATAAGTTTCCTATGAGAGGAGATTATGGGCTAGCCTCTTTTTATTGCACGTCACTTTTTTATGCATTGCAGATACTGCATGGGTTTGTTTTTTTTTTTTGCAAATTGAAATTTTGTGGCAACCTTGCATCGAGCAAGTCTATCGGCACCATTTTTCCTACCACATTTGGTCATTTCATGTCTTTGTGTCACATTTCAGTTATTCTCATGATATTTTAAATTTTCTTTATTATTACGTTTGGTATGATGATCTGTGATAAGTGATCTTTGATGTTACTATTAGAAAGAGATTATTCCTCTCTAAAGGCTCAGATTTATGGTTAGCATTTTTTAGCAATACAGTATTTTTTAAATTAAGGCATATGCTTTTTTTAGACATAATGCTATAGACTAAAGAATAGTGTAAACAGGACTTTTACATGCACTGGGAAAACAAAAACTCCGTGCAATTCTATCGTGATCTTCGGAACCTGCACCATCTCCCAGGTCTGCCTGTGCAGGAATCAGGGCCAGTCTGAGTTATGTTAAGAGGTCCTTTAGAAACCACAAAACACTGCTTCGAGAAAATGCTCTCAAGTGATTCCAAGAAATCTTTCAGGGCGAAAGAAAGGAACAGGCCGTGTCTCCTTGCCTCACCAAGAGGCTGGCACGGCCTCCTGAAGCACAGGGGGTAGGGGAGAGCCTCGTCCCGGGAAACCTCCTTCCTGGAAACACTCCCTGACTGTTGACTGGGCCGGGCCCTGCGCTGGGGGTGAGCAAGGGCTGCCTGGGCCGGGGCCCCTCGCACTGCGGACCCAGGCCCAGGAGCGTCCTCGAAGAGGTCATGTCGTCCTCCTGAGTCCACTTCCTTAGGCCTCTCAGTGGCTCTCTCCTCAACGCCGTCACCACCACCACCACCACGTCGGGACTCTGCCGGATGAATCACGGAGGAGCTGATGGGTCCTCTCTGCTGAGCCTAGAATCTCAGCTCGTGCGACCAGAAGTCCCAGACAACGCGTACTGCCTAGGACAGTGGCCCAGATGGAGGCCGGGGAGAGGGCTGGGGCAAGGGGACCACTTGTCACAGCTCGGGGACACGGCTGAAAACCTCATCAGCCTCCAAGCATCTGCCCCAGCAACATTTTCACCATGTTCCCAAATCCAGTTTTTCAGGAGATTCCCTTCTTTCTCCCTCTCCCTCTATCCTGCCCTTTCTGCCAGAATCATTTTCCTTCGGAGACAAATAGTTCTGTTTCTTCGTTGGAATGCCTCTGGAAGCCAGGAACTGTTATCTCCCTGGACAGCGTTCTGGCCAGTGCTTGGAATGTGAGTTACATTGCTGACCACAAGTGCGGGAGAAGGAATAGCGTGAGGCCTTCCCAGCTGAGGGCAGGGGCTGGGCTGGTGCGGCTGGGAGGGGAGGGGGTGCTTCCGGTGCAGCGCAGGGTCTCCTCCCGCGGGGCCCCCACGACGGGGCGAGGAGGGTCTCCCCCTCCAAGGCCCCAGGACCCATGCAGTGAGGAGGCCACTGCAGTTCCCTCTGGGCTGTGTGGGTTGGTGGGTGAGGGTGGCTTCTGGGGAGGCTGGAGGGAGACGCTGGGCTCTTCTGGGCTCTGCTGCGTGGACTGCAGGCTGCAGGCCTGACTCACCCAGCAGGGCTGGGCACAAGCCAAGGGGCCACGGAAAGACTCTGGGGTCACACACGCAGCTGTTGGCCCTGCAAGCTCAGCCTGCTGGGGGCCAGCCAGGGCTCGCCAGGCAGGCGGAGCGTGGCCTAGGGAGTCAAGACCTTTATGCAATTATAGAGGCTTTTTTCTCTCCTGAGCAAGAAGACATTCTTCTCCCGAGGACTAATTACAAAGCAAATTGTCCCTGCCTCTCTTCAAAGGCCAGTGAGGTTAAGAAACTGCTCCTTCCTTCTCCAGAGAGCTTAAAAGTACAGGCGGATTTGTCTGCTTTAGATGAGTTGGTGTAAGCTGCTACCCTGGTACCTTGCCTGGGCACAGAGCTCCAGTGTCTAGGGTCACAGATTAAAAATGCTCCGAGCACCCCCATCACTCAGGAAATTACACGTGTTTTAGAAGTCCTGTGTCAGGAGCCAGGGGACAAAGACCAATATATGTTTCTTATTGTGTCGCAGCAGATAAACGAGGAAGGCAGGAGGGCTGGGTCCCACCCTGCAGGCAGTGGGGGACTCGGGACCCTCCCTGTGTACCCCCTCTGTTCACCTGTACCCTTTATCATGACCTTTACGATACACTAGGGAACATGAGCAAATGTTTCCCTGAGTTTTGTGAGCCGTTCCAGCAGATTATCAAACTTGAGAGGGAACTGTGGGAACCCTCACTTTGTAGCCAAGTCAGTCAGAAGTGGGGGAACCCTGCCCTGGGGACCCCTTGCTTGTGACTGGTGTCGGAAGTGCGGGCAGTCTTGCGGGACTGAGCCCTTAACCTGTGGAGTCTGATGCTAACTCCAGGCAGTTAGTGTCAGAAGTGAATTAAATTACAGGACACCCAGTTGGTGTCCGGAGAGGTGGAGAATGGGTTGGCAAGGGGGTAAAAAACATGAATTTGGTGTCAAAATTATTGTAGACAAAGAAATAGTTTTCCTTTCCCCCAGACCATGGGAACTTTTCCTTACAAAGGTTTTACTGGCAATTGCTACAATGGAAAGCAGGAGTAGCAAAAACGGCAGCCCCAGGGACGGGAGCAGTTTTACAAAGATCTTACGGTTGCTGACCACCTGCTCACAAATCGACCCTAACCCTCCAGACCCCACCCCGGCCCCCAGCTGCTCGCAGTTAGCAGGCTCTTCCGGCCACCCCCTCCTGCCACCAGAACTTCCTACCAAGTGCCCGAGCTTTGTCCACACCCCTCTGGACCCCTCACAAGGAGGAGCCCATTCATCTCTGAATCCCAAATTATCATCCACCAAAACTTCAGCCGTGCCGTGCCTAGAAACCAAAATGTGACTGCTGGAAACGCCTTAAAGGAACATACATTCTACCTTCCTCACTTTGTGCATCAGGAAATGGGGTTCCAAGATACAGCCTCAGATCTGAGACCAAGGCAAGTTCCTGGGCTCTCAGTTGGATGTTCTTTAAAATGCGCATGTCCGTCCCCTGCCGGGACATCTGCTAACACTGTCCGGGCCACGACAAGTAGGAAGAGGGAAACATGCTCCAGACAGAGTGAAACTTCCCCTCAGAAGACCTGGGATTCCCTCCTAAGGCAGGTGCCTGGAGCCCCCGTATGGTGGGCCCCCTGACCCAGGGTCCGCCCCCACAGCCGCTCCCGCAGGAGCCCACAAGCCCCAGCCTGCGCTCTGCTGCTGAAGGGCTCCCACCCCTCTCAGCGGGTGTGCCCCTTCCGGGGTGTGCCAGCCCTTCCCGGTCACTCAGCCCCACACCCCACACCCCGACCCAAGTTCTCCTTCTTAGCATCGGCTCATCCCCTCCTCCATCTCCTCACCTGTCCCCATCCGCCTCCTGGCCAGCCTGGGAGCTGCCCAGGTCAGGGACTGTGCTGTGGCATCGTGGCCCCTGGCACCTTTGCAGGCACACAGTGGGTGCTCAGTAGGCATGGGGAGTATGTGTGGAGCTGAGGTGAAGTCACAGAGGCAGGACACGGGTCTTAAATACAACTTTATTAGGAGTGGACCGTTGTCCCCGCAGTGGCCAGCTCCCACGTATACACAGTATACACAGCCCAGCCGCACCCAGGTCCTCCTTCCTTCTGCAGCACACGGAATGCAAAAGAACCAAACACAATGGGGGCTCCATACATGACAGTGTCTAGTGCCTCTGGGAGCCAACGCCCAGGCCGGGGACACTCAGGTCCCCCCACCTCTCCTCAGCTCCCCAGCCCCAGCTCCCACACGGCAAGGCACACGAGGCTGGGCTCCTCCAATCAGTGCACACGACGGGCAGAGGAGGCAGGGGCTCCCAAGCCCAGGTCCTTACTGTCCACACCCCAGGAGAGGCTGCTGCGGCCCCCGGAATGCTGCTCTTCTTCCAGAGCCGTGAGGTACCACCTGCACCTTCGCCTGTGCCTTGAGGCATGTCTCTGCTCAGCCGTGGAGAGTATGGGTTGGATTAGAGAAATGTCCAAGACAAGACACGCCTCCCAAGTTGTCTTGGTTGTACTTCTTTTAAAAAGGAAATAGAAAAGCATCACGACAGAAAAGAGCATCAAGGCCCAGCTTGTGTCAGGAACAAGGTCGGTTGTCCCTCCTAGAAATGACTGGTAAGGCCGCGGTGCTGGGGGCCAGGCGCCCCCGCCGACGGCGGCTCCCTTCCCTCCCCCCCGATCCCTGCCCCTTCCGCACAGCCCCCGAGCCACCCTCTCCTCGCCGAGGATGGGGGCACCAGGCCCGGGGGCGGTGCTGTCGTCAGCCAGAGGGGTCCACGTCTCCCCGGGTGCCCTGCAGCCCCGCAGTGTTCACTCATGGGGGGGCGGGATTCCTCCTCGCTCCCGTCTTCAAGGGTGACCGCAGCCCTGCCGCAGCGATCCGCCTGCCCTCTGCCCCGTGTGGGAGCGTGTTTGAGGGCTCCGCCAGGCTGAGCCAGGGGTAAGAGCACCATCCCGGCCATGCCTGGCTGGCAGGCTGGTCTGTGGAGTGACTATTAGTGGAAACCAAAAAAATAAAAAGGGGGGACTGACTCCCTTCCCCAGGGAAGACACTCGCTGTGATGTCACCTCACTGAGGACCAGGACTCATGCCCTACACTCAGAAGCAGACTCTCCCATGTTCGTGCTGGGACAGCTGCACCCTCAAGGAAGAGCCTGCTTGGACAAACAGCTCTAACCCCACAACGTCTTCCCACTCGGAGCTGCAGGAAACACCCTGGCTTCTACCCCACTAACACATCTCCAAGATGCACCCGTCTCCAGCAGCTCCTGCTGGTGGCTGCTAAGGGCCCCCGGGTCAGCCAGTTGCCTTTGTGCCTCCTGAAACCTGTCCCCAAAGCACCCGGAGAGAGAGACCCTGTCACCACATCTGGAGGCTCGGTGGGTGGCTGGGCTGTGGGTCCAGGAAGCATGCACCCAAGCTCACTCTTGAGTCTGGGCAGCTCAGACCACAGGGGACGACAGCTGCGTCTGCTGGAGGCACCAGGGTCACCACTGCCCCTGCGGAGGGACAAGGGTGGGTTCCCAGAGAGCACAGCCTGAGGTAGCAAACAGTGAACCCCATTATCCAGCTGCAGAAACTGCAGCCTGTGATGCAATGTGGTATGCCCAGGCCAGACCGCGTGTGGCTGTCTGATGACATCCACATGCATGTCCCGCACCTGGCCCTCCCGGGCGTGTCCCAGGGCCCCCTTAGTGGGATCAGGACTAGGGCAGTGCTGGATGAAGGTATCAGCCTTGCTTACACCTGCCTCCCTGGAGGAAGACGCCAGCAGAACTGGGGCCTCCTCCTCCCCATCCCAGGCGACACTCCCCCAAAGCGCACACCCAGGCCCAGAGACAGTAGGATGCTCTAGCTCTCTCTTCAGACTCCTGCTTCAGCCACAGAATCCACCCCTGGGAAGTCTTCTCAGCATCTTTGTTTTAAATGCTCAGCTCCCTCTTGAAGAAGGCCAGTCTCCCTCCTGACTACCTGTCTCTACCTGCAAAGCCGCGGAGGACACCTGCCGAAGCACCCCCACTTGTCAGGCAGCTGGACGGCACAGGGAGAGGAGGTGACCCTGCAAGCGACGGCTGAAATCAGGACCCCCCCACACACGCCTCATCCCAAGTAGAGCGGCCCAGGCTCCAGTTACACCAACCCCACTGCCCCCTCAGCTCAGCCCACCCCCGGCCAGTTTTCACTGTTGAGTCCGTGTCGGTGAGAAAACAAAGTGGCTGACAGCACCATGATGACCTGCCTTGTTCAGAGACGGCTCAGAGCCCTGGGGCCCCCTGAGGGTGCCAGGCTGCTGGGCCCTGGCTCTTCCAGCAGCCTGCAGCCTCCCTGACGGGGGCCAAGGTCCCTGAAGTCCCGTTGGGAGGAGCCCATCCTCCAGGTCCCTCGGAGATGGGCCCCGAGCCTCCGGCCCAGCATCTGAGCACCTCTCAGCCTCTCCCCGAGGCTGGACCCAGAGGAGCCGGGCATGAGGTAGACTGTGCGTTAGTGACTTGCCTTCCCCGCCCAGACCGGGGGGGAGGAGGAGCCTCTCACCCCACCCAGGCCCTTGTCCCTGGATGTGGGGGACCCTGTGGCTTGGGCCCCCGGCCACTGCTCTCTGCCCATGGCAGCCCCACGGAGGTGGAGAGAGAGGAAGAGGGCCAGCCCCGCTCAGCATGGCCTCAACACGCAGAAGTCCAGCTCCTGGGGCTTCCGGCGCAGGTCGCACTGGTCCCGCGCCAGCAGCCGCCCCCTGTGGCCCAGCAACTTGAAGGGGCCACTCTTTGAACGCCCGGCAACAAGCTACTTGAGCCTGCTAGTACCGTACATCCGCTTGGCCTAAAACAGAGGAAACCACA